CTTAACCAGGGAGCTGAGAAGTGCAGCCTGTGGTTGACTCTGACCTGCTGAGAAGCTCTGTGAGGCCAACACTTGCTTTTTCTGTTTTTCAAGCTTTAAAAAAAAAATTTTTTTTTAAGTAATCTCTGCACCCAACGTGGGGCTCAAACTCACGACCCCGAGATCAAGAGTCACATGCTCTACTGACCGAGCCTGCCAGGCGCCCCAACACTTTCTTATTTTAACAGCTTTATGGAGATATAATTCACATACCACACAATTCACCCCTTTAAAAAAGTGTACAAGTCAATGGTTTTTTAATATCTTCACAGAGTGGTGCAACCATTACCACAATCCATTTCCCTCCCCAAAATACCCCACGTCCATTTACAGTCACTTCCCATTTCCCCTCACTCCTACCCCTGGTGACTACTGATCCACTTTAGATTTGCCTCTTCTGAACATTTCATATACATGGAAGCATACATTATCCAGCCATTCTTGTCTGCCTGCTTTCACTTAACAGAATGCTTTCAAGGCGCAGCCACACTGTGGCTGAATCAGTGCTTTACTCCTTTTTGTGGCTACGTAGTATTCCGTCGTACGGCGACACACGTTTTACCCTCCATCGGTTGATGGACACTTGGGTTGTTTTTGCCGTTTGGCTGTTATGACTAGTGTTGCCAAGAACATCCATGTGCACATGTTTGTTCAGACGTAGGTGTTCAATTCTGGGTACACGCTTGCAAGTGGCATTCTGGGTCATGTGGTAACCGTGTTGAACCTTCTGGGAAACGGCCGGACTGTTTTTTCCAAAGCGGCTGCGCCATTGTACCCTGCCACCAGCAGTGTGTGCGCCTTCCAGTCAGTCCACAGGCTCGCCAACGCTTGCCACTGTTCATCTTTTTGATTATAGCCATTCTAGACGGTGTGGGGTGGTAGGCCGGTGCTTTTTCTCAATTAGCCAGAAACATTTAAAAACTGGGAGAGCTGAGGGGTGCCTGGGTGGCGCAGTCGGTTAAGGGACCGACTCTTGGTTTCAGCTCAGGTCATGATCTCAGGGTCATGAGTTCGAGCCCCACATGGGGCTCCACGCTCAGCAGGGAGTCTGCTTCTCTCCCTCTCACTCTGCCCTTCCCTCCCACACTCTCTCACTCTCTCTCAAATCAATCAATCAATCAATCAATCAATCTTTAAGAAAAATTGGTAGAACTGATGTAAAGATCTGGATTTCTGGCTTCTCTTGGCAGTAGCTCCTGGTGCGAGTGGGGCCCATTCGCAGAGGGAGCCGGGTCACCACCATCCCCAGGCCACCGTAGTCCTCCTCCAGCTGCCCACCTCGTTGAGAGGGCCTTGGGCCTCTCTGCCAGTGAGGTCTGTAACACTCTCTGAGCCCAGCTGAGGTTTGCAAAGATGATGACCTGCCATCGTTTGGCCTTTCTGGAGTCATCTCCCCTCACGCCAACCAGGAGGTTAGCTGTGAGTGTGGGTCATGGTATTCCACCCAGACGGGCTGTATCCTCGTGATGACCCTGGAAGGATTCATTGTCCCTGTTTCCAGATGTGGAGATAGGCTCCCAGAGGAGAGGGGACATGACTGCCCTAGGTCACATGCTGGTGGGGACCAAGGCTGGGATCTGGGGTCAGAGGTCCGACCCCACAGCCCTGTGTTCTCCTGCGACATCACAAGCTCCCTCAAAGTCCTCTGGCCCTTCTCCCCACACCCAACACCTACCTTTACCTTTGCAGGGGAGGCCTTGGGGGAAGATCTCTTTCTTGAAAGAATTACATGAAAAAGCCTAGAAAGGCCACAGTGTTCCCAGCTCAGTGTCTCACCAGTTCTGATCTTACAGGTATGAGTAGTCTCGGTTTCATGTGTCAGGCCTTCGACTGACTGACCGTCCTCAGGGGTCCGTGGGCTCCGGGCGGCAGGGCCCTTCCCTGCACACTGACTTCCACGGGCCCGGTACAAAGCACCGGCGGACACAGACTCTGCTACGGGAATATCTGTTTGATAGGAATAAGTGAACCGATGATACCTTCTAAAAAGGAATTCCCCATTTTTTTGCTTCTTATTTTTCTACAGAGGTGTTTTGTTAAATATCTAACCAAACGTGGTTGAATTTCTATACCAGACAGCTTGGGTTCAAATCACGACTCCTTCGCGTATGAACTAGCTAGCCTCTCTGGGTCCCATTTTCCTCATCCAGAAAATGGGGAGAAGCACCATACCTATCTTGACTGTTAACACACCTAAGTGCTCAGGACGCCATTAGGTTTGGTAGCCACCATCACCAACACCATCGTCAGCATTTCTGTTTTCATCTGTGAACCAGGCCAGGGGCTTACAGGACCCAGGTCAAGGGAGGTTCGATGCTGGGGTGACTCAGGTTCCGGGCTGCATCACGGAGGGTTCACAGGAAGGGCCATGGTGAAATGACCAGGAACCGAGTGTTCCATGGCATGAGGGGAAGTGAATGAATGGCGGTTAGCATGAGCTGGAAAACGCACACTCACCTGAGTTGCTCAATCCATCTGGTGACGGCAAGGCCCCCTGTCCCCCTGGGGGAGTCGGGTGCGGGATCTGGGGCCAGAAGGGGCTCAGGGTGCAGTGTGGAGGTGCTGGGGAGTCTGACTGCATGAGGAAGGAGGCCCAAGCCTGAACACTGGAGGCTCTGGAGCGTGTAGTAAGACCCCCAAGGCCTCGAGGGGAAGGCCCTCAAGCCGCGGTGACACTGCGGGGTCTTTGAAGGAGTGAATGCTGCCTCTGCTGTTCATGGCTTCAGACCAGGGTGTTCCTCAGCCTCCCGCCTTCCTGGAACCCCTCTCCTTTCCTCTCAAGATGGGGAGCCTGGAGTCTCCCCCACCTCAGCGGCAGAGGTGGCTCATGCTTCTTACAGCTTCATTACCTGCTTTGGTTGCATCCTTTCTTTCCACCTTAGTCTCCCCTCTGGAGGCTGCCAGTCTCGTTCTGCACCTGCCACCCACACTGGGTCAGCAGAGTTCCTCTGTCCCTTTCCCCAAGGAATAACAACAACAGCAGTAATAGTAATAGCTCACGTTTGTTGAGCACTGACCATGCACCTGTTACTGTAATGGAAATAATTCATTTAATCTTCATAACACCCTGTGAAATAGGTGGTCCCATGACCATCCCCAGTTCACAGACGGGGAAACTGAGGCCCAGAGAGGCCAAGTTTGAGTGTCATGGAGAAGCTGGTAGGTGGTCTCTTGGGAGGCCTCCTGCCTGAGCCCTGCGGACATTGCCAGGCCACAGAATGTGTCTGACAGCCAGATGAGGATCTGTGTGTCCAACCTCCCTGGCAGTGAAAGTGACCTCTACTCAGGAGGCAGGTGGGAAATGTCGAGAGCAATTTGGAAACAACAGCTTATCTACAGGATTTGGCACATTGGTGCAATGCTCTTGGTTGTAAGGAATAAGAACCCAACCTAAAGAGGCTTTAAGAACAAGGAAACTTATTATCTCATGGACCCTTGGAAGCGATGGGGAATCAAGGACTGGTTAATTCAGCAGCTTAGTGACATCAGCAAAGACCAGGGTCTCGGGACTTAGGCTTTGCCCTCCAACTGGTTTTCTTCATTCACTCAAGTTGGCTGCCATTGCTCCAAACATCATGACCTCTCCCCCATCCAACACTAGAGAGAAAAGAGCCTGTTTCTTTTTTTTCCCCTTTAAGAACTTTCATATATAATTGCTTTTCTTTTTTTTTTTTTTTTAGAGGGAGAGAGACAGAGAGAGGGCACATGAGCAGGGGGAGGAGCAGAGGGAGAGGGACAAGCAGACTCCGTGATGAGTGCCAGCCCCACACCGGGCTCGATCTCACGACCCCAAGATCATGACCTGAGCCAAAATCAAGAGTCGGATGCTTAGCCGACTGAGCCACCCAGGCACCCCTAAATTTTTTTTAATGTTGGTATCACTGGAAACTCCACAAATGTTGTTTTATAAATACTCTTTTTTATTGTAGTGACAGCATTTAACATGAGATCTTTTTCACAGATTTTTAAGTGTGCGATACAATGTTGTTAACTATAGACATGATGTACAACAGATCTCTAGACCTTAATTCATCTTGCATAACCAAAACTTTATACCTGTTGAATAGCAACTCCCATTTCCCAATCCCCCAGCCCCTGTGAACCACCATTCTACTCTCTGCTTCTGTGAGTTCCACTATTTTAGATACTTCACATAAGTGGAATCGTACAGTAATTGTCCTTCTGTGACTGGCTTACTTCACTTAGCATAATGATCCAGCAATCCCGCTTCTGGGTATTTATCCAAAAGAATTGAAATCAGGATCTCTTCAAGAGATATCTGCACTCCCCTGTTCACAGCGGCTAAGATGTAGAAACAACCTAAGTGTCCATTGGCACATGAATGGATAAAGAAAATGTGGTCTTTACATACAATGGAGTATTTTTCCATCTTAAAAAGGAAGGAAATCCCACATTATGGTTAATGAAATAAGCCGCTGACTCTCTTGAAGAGCAAGGAACCCTTTCCCAGAAGCCCCCAGCAGATTCCCCAGAGGGTATCACGGGCCAGAATTTCGTTCCACGTGCAGCCTAAGCCAATCACCGGCAAGGGCAAAGGGGTCACTGTGATTGGCTTAAAACAACTGGAACTGGCCACGCCCCACCCCACCCCGTCCCCCGGAACTTGACGGAAGCCCATCTTCTCTGAGTCTATGGGATGGTGGGCAGGGGGGGCCTGAGCAAAATGCATTCAGTAGGAAGGAGGATTTGGGAGGAACGACCGAAACAAGGAGTAGCTAGCTCATTACAGGATCAGCACATCCACCTCGTGCTGTCTGGACCCTCGTGCTTCTGTCTTTGTTTCTGTGTTTTTGTTAACCTGATTCTCCCTCCCCTCATAAATTCTGCAAGCTCCCCTGTTCCTCCAATAAATTCCCCTCCCAGTTAAGCGGGCCAGATGTGATACCCACCCCCCGCCTCCAACATCATCCTCAGCCCGTTATCACCACCTTATGATTGCCGGTATATATCCAGCGCTTGCCACATGCCAGGTCTGGTGCAAAGTGCTTTCCTTAAACCAGCGGTGAGTTTACCCCCCAGGAGACATGTGGCAATGTCTGAAGACATCTGTGCTTGTCACAGCTCCAGGCATGGGTGCTACTTGCATCTAGTGGGTAAAGAAATGAGGGTTCTGCTCAACTATCCTACAGGGCACAGGACGGCCCCGCGACAAAGAATGATCGGCCCCACAAATGCCGATAGTGCGGGGACTGAGAAACCCTCTCCTAACCAATTCTGGAGGAAGAAATTCTGATTAGGGCACTTCACGGAGAAGTTCTGCTCCAGAATGCCCTTTATGTCCAGGTTTGAAAAACTTGCCTGACATTATCAAGCAAAGAATGGTCAAGAAGCATCCTCTGCGTGCCAAGGCCCATGCTGAGCAGCCATCGGGCTGAAGGCCTGGCCTTAAAATGAGCCCATTTTACCTCTTTTAGGTTATTCTATTTGCCCCCCTGCCTTGTTTCAGAAGTTGCTCAAGGCAGCTAGAACCAGTGATCATTACTCGCATCATCCAAGAGTGAGGAAAGAAAGAAGCACATCAGCTCCGTGGGTAAAGATTCAGAGCAGTTCCTCGAGAGGTAATTTCACACAGGGCCATGCAGAGAGGGCTAAGCAGTGAGATGGCAAGAGACAGATTGTGAAGAAAGCTCATGTCTTTGTCAGGAATTCTGGCAATTCAAGCAATGGAAACCTAACCCAAAAAAGCTTTAAAAGAGAGAATGAGAGAGAAAAATATCTTGGCTTCTATCACTAAGAAGTTCAGGGTTATTCTCCTTCAGGTACAGCTGGATCCAGGAGCAGCAATGATGTTTTTGGTACTTGAGCTGTGTCCATCTCTCAGCTCCACTTTGCCTTATATTGGCTGTATTTTCAGACACTCTTTGCTATTGTGATGACACAGAAGCCACTGTTGCTCCAGGCTGATATCACATTAGCTCAGCCATCTCAAGGCAACGACGTCTTCTCTTCTTTTCCAGAGAATTGGGTTCTGTTGGCTTTGATTGGATCCGTGTCCATCCGTGAACCAATCACTGTGGCCAGGGGCCTGGGAAGTTCTGATTGGCCAGGCCTGGGTCCTGAGTCTACCCCTGGGGATGGGGTCAGCTCACCTGATACACACAGACCAAGAAGGTAGAGATACCCCAAGGAAAATCGCAGCCTCTTCTCCAGCAGAGAGGGCAAATGGGTGCTGGGTGGGTCCAGAGCACTGCAAATGCAGCATCTAACAGTTCGCTCGCCAGATCTAACCAGGATCTGCTCGGGGCCTGGCATCGAGCCCAGAAATGAATCTGGCACCTTTCTGCCCTCTGGGAGGAGGGCAAGATATAAATAAGTGTAATTCAAAGCGCTGTGTGATATGTCCTGGGAGAAAGAAACAAACAAAAGGCTATCGACATTGGAGGCACGGCCTCTAAAGTCATCCCTGCGGTGGGATGAGAAAGGGCACCAGGTGGCAGGAATGGCATGAGCAAGGCTGAGGAGGTGGGCAGGGACAGGGCGTGCTGGAGGAGCCCAGGGTGGTCTGCTTCACTGGCCAGGAGGGGGGTGAGGCTGCAGAGGTCAGGGGAGATGGCTCAGGGCCAGGCTAACCCAGCCCAGGTGTTTGGACTTTATCCAGGTGCCAGGGAGCCATCAATGGTTCTAGAGCAGAAGAGAGACAGGGGCTAGAGTTGTGCCTTCTGAAAATGAACTCGACGGATGTGGAAGAGGAAACAGGGACAGGCTGGGAGGGCAACTGAGCAGCTGCTGCAGTTTTCCTGGGGCAGGTGCTGGGCATCTGGACCAGGACAAAGGCAGTGGCAAGGTGCAGGCCCAGGCAGCGGCTTTCCTTTTCCACCTCCAAAACACCCCAACTCAGCACCCCCTGCACTGAGCACAGCCCCTGCTCCCCAGGACTGCGCCTTCCCCCTCGTCCCCATTACAGAAAATGGTCCCACCAGCCTCCCAGTTATGAGACCAGAAACCCCGGAGTCGTCCCAGACTCCTCTCCTTCCCCTGACAGGGCCCCCAGCAGGCAACACTGTAACTCCCACTTTCAAAATACGCCCTAGGGGGCGCCTGGGTGGCTCAGTCGTTAAGCGTCTGCCTTCGGCTCAGGTCATGATCCCAGGGTCCTGGGATCGAGCCCCGCATCGGGCTCCCTGCTCAGCGGGAGGCCTGCTTCTCCCTCTCCTGCTCCCCCTGCCTGTGTTCCCTCTCTCTGTGTGTCTCTCTCTCTCTGTCAAATAAATAAAATCTTAAAAAAACAAAAAAAACAAAAAAAACAAAATACGCCCTGGATGCCATTTCTCGCCATGTCCGTGCCAGCACTCTGGGCCAGGTTGCTCATTCCTGATCCCCATCCCCACCCTCATTGCCACCCCCCCCAACCAGTGTATTCTCCCCAGTGCAGCCACAGGGATCCTCTAAAAGGACAATGCTTCTTTTGTGACATGAATTAAAAAGGCAGTTCCTGCACTGTCCTGCTCAGAGCCCTCCAGTGGGTCTTCATCACCTTTAAAAGGAACTCCAAGGTTCCCTGGCCTGGAGGCCTTTTCGTTGTCCCCCGGGGGCAGGGCACACAGTAGGTGCTCAATAAATGTGGGGAGAATGGAGGACCGGAAGACAGAGGCCTGAACCCTGGCAGTTGCTTGCGGACAGAACGGGGGTCTGTGGGCAGATGTCAAGTTACCCAGTTACGCTGAACGAGCCCCCAGAGGCCCGCTGGGCCCCGGGGAAGGGAACACAGAGACCCCCTCCCCCGCCCTACTGCCCACATTTACAGAGCAGCCCCGGAGCCTGCTGCACGCCCCCAGCCAGGCCAGGGTGTCAGGGGCAAAGGAGGAAGGAAGCGAGAGGACAGAGAAAGCTTGTTCTTTGCCTGGGCCCCAATCCCCTTCTCCAGCTCCTGGCTCTCCCCAGGAAGTCAGGGACACAGAGCCAATGAGCAGGTGGCAGGAAGCCGGACGCAGGAGCTTGGGGGACCACCACACTACCTAATCGGGCTCCAAGCCTCTACTTTCATTCTTTCTTAGAAAGATGGGATGGTCAGAAAGCCGCCTCCTCGACAAACATGTTGGACTTGACAAACACCTACCCACATGGTTCCTTGTGCCCGCGGCAGTACACTGCGGCTAGGGTTATCAGCCGGCTTTGCCCCTGGCCCTGAGAGTTCTAGTCGCTATTGTTGACAGAGGGGTGGGAATCCTGGGGGTGGTGCAATGGGGGTGGTCAGGTTCCAATACTGAGGGATGTCCTGAGAGAGCAGAGACCGTTGAAGCCTCTGGATAAGCCATGGCCAGTTGGGGAAACTGAGTCACGGATCCCTCGCAGGGGCATGAAACCACCAGCTCATAGCACCTGCCAGAGCCAACCTGTCTTCAAACCCTGGAGACTAAAGACAGGAGACATCCGGCCCAGGGAGGGCTAAGCAGATCTAGAAGGGAAGAACAACATGCAGAAAATGGAATGGCGACCCCAATTCCCAAAGCGGGCTGACTGGGCTCTCATGCTTCCACATTCCCCACCCCTGGACCACTCCCCAGGGAAGACTAATGAGACCCAGGTTCCACTTATTATGCGTCAGGCCCTGTTCCAGCATTTTACATGTATTACGGGGTTTCAGTCACTCAGTAAAAATTCACTGAGCACCGACCACGTGCAGGACACTAGTCTAGACCTTAGTACTGAGCAAACCCGGACTTCCTGCTTTCATGGAAGTTCCACAGCCAATAAATATAACATGGGGTGTGTTCGCAGGTGGCAAGGGTGTTGGAGAAAGAGAAAGCAGATATGGATAGGTTATCAGAGGCACACTTTAGAGGTCAGTATGAACGCTGGCCCCATTTTGTAGATGAGGAAAGTGGAACACAGAGAGACTCTGTGACTTGCTCAAGGTCACACAGCTTTTAAGTGGCAGAGACAGGATTTGGAGCCACGCCCTCTGGCTCCAGAGTCCCGGTTCCTGAGAAGAGGAGGATGCCAGGTCCTCTGTCTTTAGCGCAGACGCCCCCAGAGCATCGGGACAGGAAGGGACTTGGGGGAGGGGTGGGCAGGCAAGGTGAGGAGAATGCAAGCCGGCTCTGGCATTGGGCCCGCTCCCACACTTCCAGCCTTGGAAGGCATTTCTCCTTCCTGGGTCTCAGTTTTCACCTCTGCAAAATGGGGAGTTGGGCAATTCCTGCTGGAGTGCGGGCACCCTGAGGTCACGGCCGTGGGACTGCTTCGTGAAATGCACCATGGTAGCCCCGCCAACAGCGTTTATGCTTGCCCCCCAGTCCACTCTCCACCCACAGCCAGAGGCATCTCCACAAAACTCCACCAGACCTGGTCACTCCCGATGCAAGCCCTCCCTCCAGCTCCATCTTACTCCGAAGGACGGTCCCGTGGCGTCCCCCCATCGCTCGCTCTGCTGCAGCGGCCCTGCTCCCCAGCAGCTCCTGCTCAGCCCCCCGCCTTCTCCTGCCTCCTGGCTTTTGTGCAGGCTGGCTCCTCCATCCGAAAGCCCTTTCCTCGCTGGGCCTCAGCCGAAGCCAATGCTCTGCAGTCCCGTTGGCGTCAAGACCCTCCAGAGATAGACCCAGACAGGCCCACTCAACACACCGGAGCACGCAACCAAAACTCTACGGAGACGGGGCTAACACAGAGGCAGATACAAAAAACGGGCGGCTACACACGGGGAGACATACCCTGGCGGACGCAATAGACACCAAAAGCCACAAGGCTGCTCAGACACACCACCGCAGTGTGCAAGACGTGTGTGGGCCCATTCAGAGACAGTGTGAGCAACACACACCCCTCTGTGCGCGCACACACACACGCACACGCCTCCCTCGGGCGCCCGGAACAGCCCCACACCAAGTGTCCTGGGACAGGGACCGCCCGCAGCCAGCCATGGCAGCAAGGTGTCCTGGAGAACAATGGCCCCCTCCCCCACCCGCCGCACAGACACAAGGAGCCATTGTCAGCCCGGCTGGCCTGGCAGCTGTCCCTGCATGTGGGGGCGGAAGGCAGGAGGCTCCCCAGGCCCACTCGCTCCCACCTGCCCACCCAGGGACCCTGCCTCCTCCAGAGCCTCCTGCCTGGTCCTGCAGACCTCGAGGGGCTTAGCTCGCTGGCCCACCTTCTTTCCCCTTGGGGTGGATGAAAGCTCTTCCAGGCGCAGGATTACAAGGGGCAGGGCTTGGTGGTCCAAAGTGTGGAACGTAGATCCAAACCCACCTGTCGTGTGATGTTGAGCACGTGACTTCGCCTCTCCGGGCCTCGGTTTTCGTGACTGTAAAAGGAGACAATGCTACCTGCGACTTCACGGGGTGGGTAGGATGATACGTGGCAGAGCACACAAAATGCCGAGGCAAGCGGGCAGCCCGAGACCTGGGAGGCCTGGGCTCCAGGGCCAACCCTGTCACTTCCTTGCCATGAGGCCTCGAGCGCTGGACAGCCCCTCTCTGCACTGTGGTCTTCTCATCGTGGGAGGCGGATGACCACCGTCCCTCCCTCCGAGGACGCCCGTTCCGTGAAACCCTCACACAGGAGGCCCACGACAGGCCTGCACACAGTAGGCACTCAAACAGCACTGGCCATGATCATTATCTTATGTGGACTTACTTGTTTATTCATTTATCCCTTCTTTTCGTTCACGTGACCAATATTTTCTGCGTACCTCCTAGGTGCTGTGACTGGTGCTAAGTCACCCAGAACTTGCTCTGTTCCTCTAGGCCGCAGTGGGCCCCCACAGGTGTTTGTTGACCGACTGAGGGAGAGAAGGCAATTCAGTCACCGTCAGCATCGCCAGGGACCCCCGAGTGTCCTGGGTCAGGTCAGGTGGCCTAGGTCAGCCTCGCAGGGGCTTGTGACCTCGGATGAGAGCTCTTTGTCTGTAAAAACAGGCACAGGACCGCCGAGCCCTGCTCCACACGCAAGGCTGTGCTGAGGTCAAAGCCAGGCGGAAAGAGGGGAAGTGCCACTCCGTGAGTCACGATGATGCCGGGGCCCGGTTCCCTCACACCCTTAGGTCTCTATTCCCGTGGAGCTGCCCCCAGGCCGCTGTCCCACCTTCTAATCCCTGTTGCCACCCTGGGATCAGTTTCATCAATCAGGACACTCTCAGCACTGACTTCAGATTGTACATGTATTGATATGTCCGGTTTATTATCTCCCCCTAAACCAGGGTTTCTCAGGGCGCCTGGGTGGCTCAGTTGGTTGAGCGACTGCCTTTGGCTCAGGTCACGATTCTGGAGTCCCGGGATCGAGTCCCGCATCGGGCTCCCTGCTCAGCGAGGAGTCTGCTTCTCCCTCTGACCCTCTTCCCTCTCGTGCTCTCTCTCTCTCATTCTCTCTCTCTCAGATCAATAAATAAAATCTTTAAACCAGGGTTTCTCGATCTTGGACGTTGGGGCCAGATCATTCCTGGTCGTGAAGCGCCGTCCTGTGCCCTTCAGGAATCATCTAGCAGCTCCCCTGGCTTCGACCAATGAGATGCCCTCCCCCACGTCACTGTGACACCATGGATGCGTCTCAGCGGTGCCGAAGGTCCCTGGGGAAGGAAACAGTGCCCAGCTGAGAGGGGTTGGCCTCGATAACCAGCTCCAGGAGGGCAGGGACTTTGAGCTCTTTGGTTTCCTGCTATATTCTCCGGTGCATACAGTAGGCATTCAACACATACTTGTCAAGTGAATCTTGAACAGATGAATTCCATGGACATGTGCTGTTCCCCTTTCCTGGAATGCTTTTCCACTCCTTTGTCTGGTGAACTCCTATTCGTGCATCAAGATCCTAGTAGGCAGCATATATTAGGAAAGCGGGCTGAGCGGGGACTGGGGTGAAGAGGAGAGGACCTACTATGTGCCGCTCTGAATGCGGGCACCCCCAGCCCATTCCCGCCTTTCTCTGCCCTGCAGGGATGTGGCCCCAGTCTAGCTAGATCTTCTCATTTTTCTTTTTTTTTTAATTTTTTTATTGTTATGTTAATCACCATACATTACATCATTAGTTCTTGATGTAGTGTTCCATGATTCATTGTTTGTGCATAACACCCAGTGCTCCACGCAGAACGTGCCCTCTTTAATACCCGTCACCAGGCTAACCCATCCCCCCACCCCCCTCCCCTCCAGGAACCCCACATTTTTTTTCCTGAGATTAAGAATTCCTCATATCAGTGAGGTCATATGATACATGTCTTTCTCTGATTGACTTATTTCACTCAGCATAACACCCTCCAGTTCCAGCCACGTCGTTGCAAATGGCAAGATCTCATTCCTTTTGATGGCTGCATAATATTCCATTGTGTATATATACCACATCTTCTTTATCCGTTCATCTGTCGATGGGCATCTTGGCTCCTTCCACAGTTTGGCTATTGTGGACATTGCTGCTATAAACATTGGGGTGCACGTACCCCTTCGGATCCCTACATTTGTATCTTTGGGGTAAATACCCAGTAGTGCAATTGCTGGATCGTACGGTAGCTCTATTTTCAACTGTTTGAGGAACCTCCATACTGTTTTCCAGAGTGGGTGCACCAGCTTGCATTCCCACCAACAGTGTAGGAGGGTTCCCCTTTCTCCGCATCCCCGCCAACATCTGTCGTTCCCTGACTTGTTAATTTTAGCCATTCTGACTAGTGTGAGGTGGTATCTCATTGAGGTTTTGATTTGGATTTCCCTGATGCCGAGTGATGTTGAGCACTTTTTCATGTGTCTGTTGGCCATTTGGATGTCTTCTTTGGAAAAATGTCTGTTCGTGTCTTCTGCCCATTTCTTGATTGGATTATTTGTTCTTTGGGTGTTGAGTTTGATAAGTTCTAGAGGGGGGAGGGTCAGAGGGAGAAGCAGACTTCCTGCTGAGCAGGAAGCCCGATGCGGGACTCGATCCCGGGACTCCAGGATCATGACCTGAGCCGAAGGCAGTTGCTTAACCAACTGAGCCACCCAGGCGCCCCTAGATCTTCTCATTTTTCAAGTGAAGCTGGAGAAAATGGATTTTATGTGAAATCTCCTTGTCTTTCAAATGTTGGCAACTGAAACACATTTTTAAAAACATTTCAAAGGCCAAACCAAACATAACCCTGGACTGGATTTGGCCTGTGGGCAGCCTGTCAGCAAGGTCTGCTCTAGGCAGCATAATGGGTACGGTCACCTTCGAGTATGCTAAAGGGTTAGCAGACTGTCCTCCCGAGAGTCTCACTTGCATCCCCTTTGCTGTAGCAGTTGTGGGAGGGGCCCTCAGACAGCCAAGGCAACTCTGATGGGCAAAGAGGCAAAACCTCCAGCTCTAGGTGAGACCCACAGGCAAAGGCCCAGCCCACCCTAGACTAGACTTTGTGGCTCCCAAATTCCTAAATGCCAGGCCTAGGGAAGACCACACTCATGTCAGGCCTGTTCCTCCCCAGACTACTCAGCCTCTCTCAGAAGTAAAAGCAGGGAAACCAAGGCAGGGCGGGGCTTCGTGGGGACCTTGGCTGATAGTCTGTTGGGCAGGCTCCGAGGGAGCCAGGAGACAGACTTCTCTGGAAAGTCCCTCTTGTCCAGGAACTGGCTGGGTGCCGGGGAGAGAGGACACCCGAGTCCCCTGGTCTCTGAGGCTCCAGCAGCTAGCTCCTTGAGTGTCTGCCCTTCCTGGGACAGAATGTTCCAGAAACAGAAAATTGAAAAAGCCCCTCTATGGGAATCCTGAGCCCCCTTGATGGGAACTGTGAGACTGCTGGGCGGGGACATGAACCTGGTCCCAAGGATCAGTGTTGCCTGGAGACCCTCAATGCCGGAGCCAACTCCCCACTGCCCTCAGCCCTCTCAAGGGTCTGAAGGGCCCCATCAGCCATTTCCCTCAGCCTGATACTAACCAGCCAGCCCAGTTCACATCCATCATTCAGGAGGCCGAGAGCCCCACAGACAAGACTTCAAAGCCTCTTCCTGCTGTGTGAGCTGAGGCAGATCATTGGGCTGTCAGGACTTGGTTCTGTATCTGTAAAAGGCATCCTTCTATGGCAGGAAGTCAATGAGCACATGGCACAGGATTGGTGCCAGGAAGGGAGAAAAGGAAGTAATGTTTAGTGAGCAAGTACTCTGCTGGTGCCGAACCATCTATGTACATCTCTCTTCATCCTCCCCGTATAAACCTGCACTTGTTCAGTCAACAAACCTTTGGGGAGCTTCTACCATGTGTCAGGCTCCAAAGAGTACATGGAGAATAACATAGAACTGAACTCTGTGTCCTTGGAGCTCAGGGTCTGGAGGGTGGGGAGTAACAAACTTCCAAAATTATAATGTTAAGTTGTTGGGGGAAATCAAAGCCCGGTAAAAGGATAAAGAGTAAAAGCGGTTTAAAAGAGGAGGTCAGAGCAGGCCTCCTGGGGGCATTTAAACAGAGACCTGAATAGGGTAAAGGAGAGGTATCTGGGGGGAAGGGTGTTACAGAAAGAAGGAACAGCAAGTGCAAAGGCCCTGAGGCAGGGGTGTATTTAGCATGTTTGGTGGAATAACAAGGAACTCAGTTTAGCCAGAGGGGAGGGAACGAGCGAGAATAGAGGGAGATGAGGTTGTAAGGGGGAGTGGAGAGCAGATCACGTGGGGCCTGAGTAGGCCACAGGGAAGATCGGTTTTTCTTTTTCTGCCAAGTGAGGTGAGAGCCAACGGGAGGATCCTGAGTAGTGGAGGGCCATGACCTGCCCTGCTACTATTATCCCCATCTCAGAGATGAGGAAACTAAGGCTCAGAGAGGTGAAGTTACTTGCCCCAGGTCACAAACCCAGGGAATGGCAAAGGTGGAATTTCAGCCCTTCTCTGTGTGATACCCAGAGTCTTTCCATTTCCTTGACGGGCTCTGGTTCTGGCGCGAGTCAGGGGGCCAATCAGGTGAGGGGGGAGAAGTCCTCTTAGAGCCACTCTTTGCAGTCTCCTGCCTCTCTTCCCCACTTGTGCTTTCTCCCTCGCCCTCAGCCATCCCATAGCTGTCCGGGGCCTGGGTGAGCGCCTGACATTTAAGGCCATCCCTACCCATGTGCACACTGGATTTTCGGTGATGGACAAAAGAGCCATTCAAAGGATCCCAGCATGAATGGAGGGTGGCAGGCAAGGGCCCAGGGCCTGTGGAGTAGCTGTGGTTCTGCCTGTAATTTGCAGAGTGGCCAGGGCAAGTCCCTGGCCCCCAAAGTCACCCTGGCTTGAAGGACAATCACTTTCTTTTTCTTGTAAAAGGAAGAGAAATTGTCAGCTCTTGGGTTTCACTCTGAGCTTGCCGATGTCTTTCCAGTAACTGAAGAACAAGGGGCTGGGCCCCTGCCTGGAGGCTGCCTGCGGAGGCCTTGGGGGCTGTGGTCAATGCCACCTGGCCCGCTGGCTTCACCCTGCTCTCTGCACCCCTCCCGGCTCCTGAATAATTGCGGTATTTGGTTTCCCTTCAACACCAAATGCGAAACTGTGCTGGAGGTAAGACAGAAAGGAATCTGTGTGAATTGAATCTCTGAACTGTGGTTGAGGGAAGGTATTCTTAGGCGCCTGCCTGTGAGGGTGATGAACTTCTGGTGCTAAAAGCAGAATTGCTTTTCAGTAAATGTTATTACTCAAAAGGAAGTTGTCACCGCCGCCGCCACCTCAAGCCTCTCCCAACAGCCACACTGTCTGTCGGCGTGAGGGGTCTCTCGGGGGCTCCCAGGGAAGCTCTGGCTGCTCCCGCTGACTCCCCGGCCGGCTGCCGCTGAAGCGCAAATGCCCGCTGCCTGCCCGGGCGTTGTATCGCAAGGTGCCCCCTGTTTTCTGACTCAGCATTTCAGTTTCCAGGCTCACGTGGTCTCCGCGGGGCTAAGCCCAAACGGAGGGTGGGGTGAGGGGCCCAAGCCTGAGCAGTCAGTTGACTGGGCTTTGTTTTGTTTTGTTTTGTTTTGTTTTCTTCGTGGGTTTTTTGAGATCCATTGTCCATCTTGGCAACTCACCTCCCTTAATACCTGTTTCCTCTTCCCTAAAATGGGAGGTGCGGTGATGATACCCCAATGTACAGAGTCAAACACAGTAATTGACCACGGTAAGGTTATTATTAATAGTGTAAATGACTCTGGATTCAGATCATACGGACCAGGACTTCAGATCTCAGCTCCACCCTCGACGATGTGCATGATCTTGGACAAGTCCATCCGCCCCTCTGAGCCTCAGTCTCCTCCTATACAAAGTAGGGATAGGAGTAATGCCTCCTGAGCAAGACTGTAAATCAACGGGCACACCGTAGGTATGCAGCATCGGCCCCATGCCTTCTTCTCTTGATTGCCTGAGAGAGGCTAGCCCCTGGGTTGTTGCTCCACCTGAGCAGCCTGGCCCACAGGAACCAGCTGCCTTCTTCCTTCGCAGAGAAAAGTCCGTGACCGTGACAGTATGCACTCAAGTCCAGAGGGCAGATGAGAACCAACCAGGCCAACCTCAATGCAGCCTGTCCAGTAGCTACTCTGCAGGATGGTGGGTCACCATCCCACCCTAGAGCTATCAGAAGATGCCTTGTGATCGCTTCCTCCACCTGGCACAGCCCTGAAAGGTAGCAATCACATCGGCTGAGCAGCACCTGTGGGTGAGCACTGTGCTCCGAGTGCTTCCCGTCCCCGAGCCTCCGCAGCAACCCCTTGCGGGAGGGCCTCTCAGTGCTCAGCCTCTTGCAGGTGTGGAACCCGAGGCTCAGGTAGCTGAGAGGTCTGATAGGCTGAGATTTGAAGCCAGGCTGTCCCACTGAGAAGCCGCACGCTTAACCACCACACCACGTCTGATGTTTGAGTTTCTGGCGGCGCCCCCATGCCACCACAGACACAGTTAGATTCAGAAGTGCATGGGTGTAGGGGCGCCTGAGAGGCTCAGTCGGTTAAGTGTCTGACTCTTGATGTTTAGCTCAGGTCAGGATCTCGGGGTCTTGAGATCGAGCCCCGCATCGGGTTCCGCACGCACTCGGTGGCGAGTCTGCTTGAGATTCTTTCCCTCTTCCTCTCCCTCTGCCCCTCCCCACCTAAAATAAATAAATAAATCTTTTTTTTAAAAAAAAGAAGAAGTGTATGGGTATAAAAAATTGTATTTGTGTTCTTTATTGAATTTCTTATTTCGAGATTATTGTAGATTCACAGGCAGCCATAAGAAATAAACAGGGATCCCATGTACCCTCTCCTGGCTTCCGCCAAGGAGAACACTCTGCCCAAATTACAGAACGGTAGCACCAGGGTGTGGACGTGGCTCTAGCCAAGATGCAGAACATTTCCTCCACCCAAGGATCCCTCGTGCCGAGCTTTCATAGCCACACCCAGCTCCTGCTCCCGCCTCTGCCCCGGCTGCTGGCAACCACTTACCTATTCTCCATCTCTAGAGTGGTGTGAGTTCACGAACGACACGTGAAGGGCATCATGTGGTATGGAACCCTTTGGGATCGACTGTGCTCAGCATAATTCCCTGGAGATTTAACCACATTGTTGCATGATCAACCTTTGCCTCCTTTTGGTTCCTGAGTAGCATCCCACCGTACGGATGTACCGCCATTTCCGTAGCTATTCATTACGAAGGGTATGGGGGCGGCTTCTAGTTTTTGCTTATTAGGGATCGAACTGCCATGAACGCTTGTGTACATAAGTTTTCATTTCTACGTCCAGGGGTGCAATTGCTGACTCATATGGTAGATTTTAAGAAATTGCCTGTTTTCTAGAACACGGTACCATTTTACACTCCCACCAGGAATGCGGGAGTGACCCAGTTTCTCCAACCCTCACCAACACTTTGCATTCTTATCATTTTTTGGTGTTGTCGGTGGAATAGATGTGTAGTAGTATCTCACTGAGGTCTTCAGCTGCATTTCCCTGATGGCTACTGACACTGAATGCCTTTGCATGTGCTCACGGGCACCTGGGTATCCCCTGCCATGAAATGTCTTCTCCTGCCTTTTGCTCATGTTCTAATTGGATTTTTTTTTTTACTTACTGAGCTTTGAGAGTTGTGGATACCTCCTAGACACCAGTCCTCAGTCAGGTGGTTCAAAAATATTTTCCCCCAGCCCATAGCCTGTCTTTGCATCCTTCACAGGGTCTTTCACGGAGGAAAGGTTTTGATTTTGATGAGGTACCATTTATCAATTTTTCCTTTTATGAAGTGTGCTTTTGGCATTCAAGTCTAATAATTCCTTGCCTAGACTTAGATCCCCGAGATTGATTTTCTCCTACTTTAAATAAAATAAATAAATGTTTTATAGTTCTATGGGCTTTTTCTTATACTTTTATGTTTTACATTTAAGTCCATGATCCACTTTGAGTTAATTGTTGTATAAGGCATGAGGGGCCTTCATTGGGCCAAGATTCTTTTCTCTTTGCCAATGGATGTCCAATTTCTCCAGTACTGTTTATGGAAAAGGTTATCCTTTTTCCAGGGAATTGCTTTTGCATGTATTTGTGTGGGTCTATTTCTGTGCCCTCTATTCTATCCCATTGACTGTGTGTCTATCCCTCTGCCAATACCACACTGTCTTGATTGCCATGGCTGTGCAGTAAGTCTCAATGTTGGGTAGAATGAGTCCTCCCACTTAGTAGAAAATTGTAAATCTTATTTTAATTTATCAATAAGTGGTGTGGCAAAGCTCTGTTCCACAACTTGTTCATTTAAAAAGAGAATACTGAAGCAGAAGTGGCCAAAGGTCCACCCAGGACTCATGTTCTACCTCTAAAGTGCAGAGCTATAGGCAAGTAGCTGCCCAGCCAGGCGACTACGTTTTCCCAGTTGGCTTTGCACCTGGGTGGAACCATGTGACTAGTTCTGGCCAATGGAATGTGAGGGGACATGTTATGTATGTGTGTCACTCTGGGCTGATGGGTGCCTTCTCCAACCTCTCCTCTCTCTGGCTGGATGCTGATCCCCAGGGTAAACTTAGGAGCTACCAGATCAGCCCCCATCAGTCAAGATACCTGAGTAACTATGTGAAACAGAGCTCTTTCTCCCTGTGGCCATCCCAGTGACCAAAAATGTCTGCATTTATGAATGAAATGTTATAACACTCCTAAATTTTAAAGTTAAAGTAAGCAATACAACTTATAAAATGTCCATCCATGTACAACTTAAAACCATTTCATATACCCCTGGTACATTCACGTTTGGGAAATATATATATATAATTTTAAAGATTTATTTATTTATTCTTAGAGAGAGAACGTGCACACAAGCATGGTGCAGGTGGAGCGGGGTGGGGGGTGGCAGAGGGAGAGGGAGAGAGAATCTCGAGCAGACTGCCAGCTGAGTGCAGAGCCCCACGCTGGGCTTGATCTCATGACCCTGAGATCATGACCTGAGCCAAAATCAAGAGTCAGACACTCAACCGACTGAGCCACCCAGGCGCCCCAAGGGAAATATATATTCTAAACCCTGTGTTGGATGTTAGTTCACAGTCCTTGTACAACTAGAAAAACAGAGGCCCAGACAGGGAAGGGGTGTACCCAAGGTCACACAGCAAATCCAGGACAGAGCCCAAGTAATTCCACTAATTAAGTATAACTGATTTCCATGAAACTTTGATTCCTTCTTTTAAAGGACAGACAAGTCTGAGCGTGTCAACCCAGACTCCAAGTGGACGGTTATAAAAACAAATCATAATTAATAATTCCTTGTGAGGCAGGTCAGAGAGCTTCCGGGGCAGGGTGGCGCCTCCAAGCGCTGTTTTTGGGCAGAAGTAGTTTTAAGACTTCCTGCCTTTCAGAGGGGGTGGGGGAACAATTTAAAATAAGCCTAATAAACATGCCTTATGCAGCTATGCTCCCTGGAGTGAAGCTCTCACATCCAGAAGCCAAAAGCTCAGCCTTTATGATGTGTGGTTTGTCTGTGTGCTGAGGTTATAGGGAAAAAAAGACCACGAGGGATTTATGGGGAGAAACAACATCAGCAACAAGAATTCCTTGTGGAACTGAGTGGGTCAATTCTTTGCAGTTGTTGAACTGAGTGGGTCAAAAGGCATCAGAGAGAGTAACTGCAGAGGAGGAAGGACGGGGGCAGCCAAGGGCTCTGGTGTCGGACTTAGAGACCCCAGTACAAGCCTGTTCTGCTATCTGAACAGCTGTGAGTCCTCAGCCATCGACTTAGCCACTCTGTGCCTCAGTTTCCCCATCTATGAAATGGGAGTTATAAAAGTCCCTACCACCTAGGGGCTATTTGAAACTAAAGTGAGATAATGCAAGTAAAGGTCTTCTCACAGGGCCTGGCGCACAGTAGGCCCTCAACATAGGTTTGCCCTTGTAACATCATTACTGGAGAAATTACCCTTTGGGGAGGAAGAATTGAGACAATCATAGCCCTGTGTTCTGTGGTCCGCAGCCCCGCCTTCGTATTTTTAAACATACTGGTTCCTAGGACCCACCTCAGCAATCTTGCTGCAGTGGCCTGGGGGTGGGGGCGGGCACTGGCTCACCCCCCCCCCCCCGGCTGGCGTGAGAAGTGTGAGAACCCCCACCTCAGGCACAGCATCGTCTTGTGGTGGGGCTCAGTCCATTTACATCATAAGGTGACAAAACATTGGTCTGCTTTTTTCCATTTTTCACTCAGTGTGGTTTGTTTTTTAAGCTCTAACCATGGGGCTGTGAGATGTCTTAGTTCATTGCTTCCAGTTGCTAATTTTTGCATCCTCCATGGTTCCCTCAGCCCCTCCCCTGGCGCGGACCCTCACCTGCCCCCTCCCCCACCACCTTCCACGTAGGACCTCATGACAAACTCTCTCCTTGAATGCCCCTGACCCAAGGGAATTTCCCTGAGACTTCACACTATCAGTAAGGTTTAACCGGGCTCCAAAAACCGAATCTGAATCTCAGGGGTGGGGCTCTAGCCGCCGAAGGCTTTCAAATGCTCTCCAAGCGATTTTGAGGAGGAGTTATAAGGACTGAGACCCACTGGCTTAACCAAAATCTCCATGGCAGAGATAGCAAGAAGCTTCAAGGGAAAACAGAAATGCCAGGGAGCTGAAAGCATAACTTGAATCCCTCTGCCTGTACATTTCTGATAACAACCTGGCCCTTGGAGACACAGATGCAACAACCGGAGTTGAGGCCAAGAGAGTAGAACTCAGGACTTTGTGACACCAACCTGTATGTGCTTAACCTCCAAGACGTACCCCCTGCCTTCAAGTTGTTCCCTCCTCAGTGGGGCAGGCAGGGGTATAAGAGGGCAATTATATCCACTATGATAAAGGCAAATATTAAAGTGCATGGGAGCAATGGAGTGAAGTGGTTTGCTGATTTGGGGGGGGGGCAGGGTAAAAGATGGGTTTTGAAGGATCAGTAAGAGTCTGCTAGAAAAAGATCAGGGACTAGTAAACATCTGTAGCAGATGCTGTTGGTGCCCACCCACATTCCCTAGATGCTTATTCCTACTTGCTGCAAATAGCTCTGACTCTGCTTGAGAGATCTGGTCTGGCTGTGGCCATGTTCCTGGCCAGAAGTTCCAGAAAGTTGATGCCCCTGGAATTGGCCTTCAGTTGATGATGAATGGGGAGCTGGAGGACACATAGCCAGTTTCCTCACCCCTTGTTTGGAATAACTCTGGGGTGTATGTTCTACACTGGCTCCTAGAGCCCCCCAGTGGGTTTGAGCTTCAGTTGCCCACAGTGGCGACCAGATGGAAAACACGATTTATTTGCTTCTTCCCTGTTTCCCTTACCCACCTTGCTATTATGGGTGCTTCCTGGGATTACCTCCCAAATATACTCCTTGCTCTTGATCCTGTCTCAGGGTCTGTCTGGGGGAGAACTCCTTGCTCTTGATCCTGTCTCAGGGTCTGTCTGGGGGAGAACTCCTTGCTCTTGATCCTGTCTCAAGGTCTGTCAGGGGGAGAACGACCAAGGCATCATCCTTGGTAGAAAAGAAGCCTGTGTAAAGGCAGACAGGGGCAGGAAACCACGTGATATGGGCAGAAAATCACTAATAGCTCAGGGCATGGGGTGAAATTAGGCGGAGAGGCTGAAGAAGCCAGAGACATAGGCAGGAAGCAGCCGCGTGGGCCTCAGCTGCCACACCCAGGTCCCAGACTTCTTCCATGTTCTCTGCTCGGGCTGCAGGAACTGGGCTCCAGAGCACGCAGGACAACACGCTCATGGCGGAGGTTCCTCAAGGATGTCCTGGTGAGGTTGGCAGGCTTGAGGGTACCAAATTCTCCAGTCATTGCTGCAGTGACCCCCTAGCCTTTGAGTTTATTTGACTAAGATCCAGTTCTGCCCTGGACAAAGGCAACAGGGAAACTGACAAAAGGCCACTGTCTTTGATTGGCAGAGACAAGCCAGCTGGGTAAGAGCCACCCATCCAGTTTGGTTTCCAACTGGGAGTGCTAACTAGTCTTAGTTTCCTCCTCTGTGCAAGGGGGATTGTGATGGCAGCACCCTCACAGGACCATTGTAGCACCCAGCGAGGGCCCCTTCTCTCGTCCCCTGCCGTGGG